CTTCCGAGTAGCCGGAATTACAGGCACGCGCTACCACACCCGGCTGATTTTTTTATTTATTGTAGAGATGAGGTCTTGCTGCCCAGGCGGATCTCAAACCCGCGGGCTCAGGCAATCCACTCACCTCAGCCTCCCAAAGGCGCGGGATTACAGGCTGAGCCACTGAGCCCGGCTTTATTTATTTTTTTTTTAATTTGTATTCGCCAGGAAGATCAGTTTCATCTCTTTTAAATTCTTCTTTTTGATATTGACCTTCATGTCTCTAAATAACATGCTTAAATGTCTCCTTGATTTTTCCATTGTCAGCATTATCAACTGACTCCCCACTGTGAAAGATGAGGGTTTAGGTTTGTGCAATTCCAGTCTGTGCCTTACACACATTACCTTTCCATCTCTCTTTATTCCCTCATATATCATAATTGAGTTGGGTCACTATTTAGGTTAATACCTGACTGTGTAAACACATTATTCAAAAGTTAACCAGTGAAATGGACTATGATCATTCACATTTCTTGCACCAACTTTTTGTTTTCTGTATAATTAATGTTTCTTATCATAGGCTTTGTTTTCATCGTATTTATTTCTAACTTAGTACCAAGGTCGACCAACTATCTGAATTCCCTCCCAAAACAATCAGTTTGACCTTTGGGAAGGAATCTTTCAAAACCAGGCTGGAGATGGAGTCCCAGAGTCTTCCTTTGCCGCCTAGGGATTGCATCTGCCTCTCTCCTGGGCGACCCTGTATCCCTGGACTTTCTCCCTCTTCCTCCTGGGTTTTGGTAGAACATATCCTCTACTATCTTCCTGAGAAAACGGGGCAAGGAGGTTAAATTCTTGAGTCCTTGCATGCCTAAGAATGTCTGCCCTCATACTAAATGAATCATTTGACTAGGTATAAAATTACAGACTAGAAGTCGTTTTCCTTTAAACTTTTGAATGTGTCGCTCCATTGTTGTCTGCATTGTTACCATTGAGAAGTCTGATGCAGTTATAATTACCAATTGTGCACGAGAAAGAGAGAGAGAGAAAAAGAGAGGGCATATTGTCTCTCTCTGGAATCTCTTGTGATCTTTCTGTTTCTAGTATTCTGAAATTTCATAATATCATGCCTTGGCATGGATCTATTTTTCATCTACTGTATTTGGCATTAGTAGGTAGGTCTTTCTAATCTAGAAATCTAAGTCTTTGATTTCTGGGAAATTCTCTTGAATTATTTAAATTTTTTTTCTCTTATTGGAATTTTTAGTAATTGGATATTGTGCCTCCTGGAATTCTCACCTAACTTTCATAATTTTCTCCCCTATTTTCCATCTCTGGTTTTTGTTGTGCTTTTTGAGCGATCTCTTCACAACTTGACCTCTCAAACTTTATTAAACTTTTCATTTCTGCACACACACACATACATAATTTAAAGGAATTTTCCCTCTGATTGATCTCTTTTTTTTTTTTTTTTGAGTCAAAGTCTCACTGTTGCCCAGGCTGGAAGTGGCATGATCACAGCCACCGCAGCCTCCTCTTCTAGGACTTAGGTGATCCTTCTGCCTCAGCCTTCCACATAGCTGGAACCATAGGTGTACACCACCATATCTGGCTAATTTTTTTATTTATTATAGAGGCAAGGTCTTGCTAAGTCTTGGTCTTGAACCTCTGGGTTCAAGTAATTCTCTCGCCTCCACCTCCAAAATTGCTGGGCTTACCAGATAAGATGACAACATGCCCAGCTGAATGATTCTTTCTTAATACTATCCTGTTCTTGTTCGTGATTGCAATATCTTATCTGAGATTGCTGACAGTTTTAGAAGTTTTCTTTTTATTTTCCTTGCATAATTTTCTGTTTCCTTCATGTTGCTTTCATCTGTTGTGTTTTGATTTTCCTCTCATATCTGGAAATTCTTGTTTGTCCATGTTCTTCTTTAATTGTTAATATAGTATTTATTTATTTATTTTTAATTTTAATTTTAATTTTTTAACAGTTTGGGCTAATTCCATATTTTAGTCCTCAAGCTCTAAGTATTTATTTTTAAATTTTTTATTTTAAAGATGTGGGGTAAATTTCAGGGTTAGGTTAGGTATACAAATGTTCATTATGTGGATACCCTTGTTGATGAGGTGTGCCATCCCCCTCCCCTGGCAGTTTCCCACTACTACCCACCCCCCACCCCACCTTTTCATTAAGAAAGAGCCTTCCAGCCAGCTTGGTGACTCAGCCTGTAATCTCAGCACTTTGGGAGGCCGAGGCGAGTAGATTGCTTGAGCCCTCGGGTTTGAGACCAGCCTGGGCAACTTGATGAGATCCCATCTCTACAATAAATAAAAAATATTAACCTGGTGTGGTAGCACGCACCTGTAGTTCCGGCTACTTGGAAAGCTGAGGCAGAAGGATTGCTGGAACCCAGCAGGTTGACACTGGGGTGGCCCTGAGTGTGCCACTGTACTCCAGCGTGGGCAACAGAGTGAGACTCCAAATCAAAAAATAATAGAGAGAGCTTTCCCAAGTGGGTTAGAGCTCTGCAAACCTGAGCTGGGCTGCTGGACTCTGTGCTGCCCATGGGGGCGCTATGGCTCAGCCTCTTAGCTGGCCTGTATCTGAAGGTCTTCTCTCTTGTCTCCTGCCTGAAGGGGAAAGGCCTAGCTGTTAGGTTTTGAGAGCCAAGTGGGAGGAGGGCTGGCTGTGTCCCGTGGCCCATTCTCAGTGTGGTTCTCTACCCTCCTTCTTCTGTCTCCTGCGCTTTCTCTCTTCCTCCTTCTTACTCCATCGATTGAGTAGTATGTATCCTCTCTTAGCTGCCTGAGAAAGGGGATGTGTCTAGAAATGCCTTTTTCTACTACTTGTCTGTGACCTCCATTCTAGAGAGCCCACTGTGTTAGCTTCTCTAGAAAATAAGCCTCCTGTCCCCTCCAGGGAGGAGGAGGGGCAATCCACCTACTGCATCATGGGGTGGGGGTGAAATTGGCATACTGGACCATGTCTTCTACAGGCCTTGGACCCAGTCCTCCTTATTTTGTCACCACCTCCTGATGTGCAGTGCACAGCCTGTAGCTGTGCTTCCAGGGAATCCTGCAGTATAAAACTCCTTGACTCTAAGCTTTCCCCACTGTGGCCGTAGGATTCTCTGTTCTCAGGTCTGATATGTCATGGATCACTGAAACAGCTGGTTTTCAACTTCTAATGTTTTGTTGCTTTTATCTCCTTTTCTACTCCTTCCATCCTTGTTGGTTTGTGACTTTTTTTTTTTTGAGTTGGAGTCTCACTCTGTCGCCCAGACTGGAGTGCAGTGGCCGCTCCCGGCCACCGCAGCCTCGCCCTGCTGGGCTCCGGGGATCCTTCCGCCTCAGCCTTCCAAGTAGCTGGAACTACAGGTGCACGCTACCATGCCCGGCTAATTTTTTGTTTTATTGTAGAGATGAGGTCTCACCGAGTTGCCTAGGCGGGTCTCGAACCCGCAGGCTCAGGCAGTCCACTCACCTCAGCCTCCCAAGGCGCGGGATTACAGGCTGAGCCACCGAGCCCAGCTGGTTTTTGACTTTTAAAGACAATTTCTATTCTGTCATTGGAATGGGAATTTGGCAGAGGGTGGAAATGGATGCATGTATTCAAACTGTCATCTTTACCCAAAGTTATGGTACTTTCTTTATCATGAAATTGATAACAAGCCCATGGGGGATGGGAAGACCTTGGATTCTTACTGAGAGAAAAAGTCCCAGCAATTGTATGTTCTTGAGTTTTCAGAGAAGTGAGGAGAGTCAATCCTGGGAAAGTAAAATAAAATGGTATCATGATTAGAGCTCTGACTTCTGACATTTTCTAATGGTTTCTAAAGTGGATTTTGGAGTGATTGCAACAAAACACTCGGAAGACCTCAGCAGTAAAAGATTAAATGAAGCTGTGACAGTGAGATTGCCCACCTCCCCGAACTCACGGATGACAACACATTACAACCTGAGCCCCAAAGTCCAAGAAATGGCTAAGAAGATAGACTTGCTAAAAGACAGTCACATCTTCCAGATCATCTGGGAAGAATCTGCGAAGTCACTGAGTAAGCCTGAGGAGGAACTGGAAGCCGCAGAGGTGCTGAGTGGGTCTGAAGAAGAATCAGAAAGGCAAATACTTGACCTTGAAGCGGTGTATGGTTATTTGTATAATCTTTGTTACAAAAAGTTTATTAGACTTTATCAGGATCTAAAGTCAGGAGAGGTCACCTTTGCCAAAATCGATGTCATCTTCAAGGACTTTGTGAATAAATACCCTGACCTGATTCTAGACCTCAAGATCATGTGTACTGTCGATAACCAGGACAAAAGGGATTGGATCAAGGAGCGAGTTGAGCAGATCAAGGAATACCATCACCTGCACCAGGCTGTCAACTCAGCCAAGGTCATCTTGCAGGTCAAAGAAAATTTGGGACTGACTGGTGACTTCAGTGTTCTTCACACTTTGTTAAACTTTGTAAGTGATTTGCTAGGGATTGTGATGGTGGGGGAATGTCCTACCTCAGACTCCTTGGGAGCCTTGGGCTTTCTGGCTTTTACAAGTTGGACAGGATGATTTAGTACTTCCTTCAAGGGTTCTTGTTTATTTTGTACCCGAGGCCTGAATATACCAAGGGCTTCATTTTTTACCTGTGTTTATAATGTGACTGTTCTAGCTAGTGAGTATGAAGATGAAGAATTTAGGAACAAAGACTAATCTGATCTCTTTAGGTAATAGGTGCAAAAGAGGAAAATACTTTGTTGGCTATCCAATTGCATCTCCTCATTCTAACCAGAAGCGATAAGTTGTTTCTGTTAAATAAGAAGTGAGTCTTGGTTTCTGTTTTTGTAGGTATACATGTCTGTATCATTATGTAAACCAGTAGTATTGTGATAGAAATTAAGCACAAAATCTGAAGTCATACACACCTAAATGTGAGTCCCAGAAGCATATCCTTGAGGAAGTAACTGCTCTGGGCCTTTGTTCCTTTATTGTAAAGCAGAAAAAATAACAGCATATACCTGTGAGGAACTGATTTTAAAATCCATATAACATGTTTAGTAGAATGTCAGGTATAGAGGAATAGTAGTTACCATTGGTCAAGGAGAAACAGTAATGGAGGTTATATTGTCCACTTCAGGGGTAAGAGCCTGGCACATGTGTTGTAGCAGCAGCAAATTCAGGAATTAGGGTAGGGACTGTTGGAATGGTCAGTGCTGTGGCTCATGGACTCTGGGTTCCAGTTGACTCATTCCATTTCACAATAGAGCTTTGTCTTGCAGACTGATAACTTTGACAACTTTCGTGAGGAAAAACTGGTCCGGATCAGCCAGCAGCTTATCCGGGCCAAAAAGCTACTCCAGGACATCAACACGACCCGGTGCCACTGTCTGAAGGAGCTGTCTCTGAGAAAGGAGTTCATCAGCTGGGTTCGGGAAGCTCTTGGAGGTAAAATGGGTCATTTGAAACTGCCAGGAGTCTGGAGAGTTTTCAGATGGTTCACTGTGTGGTTCCTAAACTTTAAGGAAACCCCCCCAGATAGATTTTGCCTGCATTCTCTGTCACCCAGGCTGGAGTGCAGTGGTGCAATCATAGCTCCACTGCAGCCTCGACTTCCTGGGCTCAAGCAATCCTCCTGTCTCCACCTCCCTAGTAGCTGGGACTACAGGCCTCTACACCTGTGTAATTTTTAAAAAATACTTTAAACATGGGATCTCACTATGTTTCCCAGACTGGTCTCAAGTGCCTCACTCATTCCTCCCACCTCAGCCTCCCAAGTAGCTGGGACTATAGGCATGGGCCACCGCGCCAAGCTCCTTGCCTGATTTATTTAGGATGATAGGCAACATGTGTTTAATAACTACCCTTGTCATGCACCCCCCACTCTGCAGATGCTTGCTGTGAATGGCTGAGGATCATTTTCATACAAATCTTGCTGCCTTTAGCTTTTTCTTCCAGTTGCTCGTTACTAGATGTCAAGAAAGGCTCTTGCCCACGGATAGGTTTTATCACAACGTCCTCATTGATGCTGTACGTTTCTTGGCAGCCTTTTTGGTTGTGTGGCTTAGATGCCTTTGACAGCGTTAATTCATAGGGGAGAAGGGGAGGTAAGAAAGAAGGGAAGGGGAGGTAAGAAAGAAGGGAAGAGGAGGCAAGGAGGAGGACAGGTGGGCAGTGCCGCTGTGTGGCAGGCAGGTGGCAGGACTGTGGCCTGCAGGGTCAGAGGCCCCGTTGGCTCCGGCCCTCATTGGGAGCATCACACCTTCAACGGGGAACTCTAGTCCACTTTGATGGACATCATTTAGTAGAAATCAGCCTAAGGGGAAGCATCTCAGCTTTTTATAGTTCATCGTCGACATATTATTTACCAGCTGAGCCCCAGTTTCTTTTTGTTTAAATGGTGGTGTTGGCCAGGTGCAGTGGCTCAAGCCCGTAATCCCAGCACTTTGGGAGGCTGAGATGAGAGGATTGCCTGAGCCCACAGGTTTGAGACCATCCCGGGCAACTTGGTGAGACCTCTTCTCTTCAATAAATCAAAAAGTTAGCCGGGCTTGGTAGCGTGTGCCTGTAGTTCCGACTATTTGGAAGGCTGGGGCAGAAGGATCGTCTGAGCTCAGCGGATTGATGCTGGGGTAGCTGTGAGCGTGCTACTGCACTCCAGCCTGGGCAACAGAGTGAGACTCCACCTCAAAAAAACAAAATGGTGATGTTGTGTAGAGGAAAGGAAATAGGTACACAAAAGTTCAATACGGTGCCTGGGAAGTTGTTCGGAAAAGGGGAGATAGCAGTTAGTGGTATCAACAAAGACTGCAAAAGATTAGGGGCCCTGGATTCTTAATGAAAGCAGAAAGGAGAGAAAACATTAAAAGTTCATTAAATATCCATTCATGGCTTCACTGAGATTCACTGTTCGTGACTGAGCCCCGTGCCATCGTGGCAGAGTCCCACGCTGACCTCTTGTCTCTTCCCCAGGCATCAATGAGCTGAAGGTGTTTGTGGACCTGGCTTCCATTTCAGCAGGGGAGAACGACATAGACGTGGACCGGGTGGCCTGCTTCCATGACGCAGTACAGGGCTATGCATCCCTGCTGTATAAACTAGACTCAAGAGCGGATTTTGATGTGTTCATGGAGCATCTGAAAGAGCTGTGGAAGGCTCTGGACAATGACCAGCACCTACCCAGGAAACTGGTGAGTCTGATTCTGGCTCCAAAGCAGATTACGTTGAATAAAGCAACATTAGGAGAGTGACTATGCAAATTGTGATACAGTGGTATGCCAGGTTTGCACACAACCATTTAAAGTGATGTTAAAAGAGTTTTTCTTCAAAGGGGAAATTCTCCATATTCTTATGTTAGAACGTGGACGCAAGGCCAGGTGTGGTGGCTCACGCCTATAATCCCAGCACTTTGGGAGGCCAAGGTGAGAGGATTGCCTGAGCCCACGGGTTCTAGACCAGCCTTGGCAAATTGGTGAGACCTCAACTCTACATAAATAAAAAAAATTAGCCAAGCTTGGTGGCGTGTGCCTGTAGTTCCAGCTACTTGGAAGGTTGAGGCAGAAGGATCACCTGAGCCCAGCAGGTCAAGGCTACAGTGGCCATGAGCATGCCACTACACTCCAGCCTGGGCGACAGAGGGAGACTCCAACTCAAAAAAAAAAAAGAAAGAAAGAAAGTGGGATGCAAAATTGCATGTAAACAGTAGTAACCTCTCCTCTATGGTACAAAACACATGTGGAAAAAAAGACTAAAAGGAAATATACTAAACGGCTACTGGGAGTAGTCTCTGAATAATTGTCATTTTATTCTTTCACTTTTTGGTATTTTCCATATTTTCTCTAATTGGTATAGATGAATGTTTATCAGAAAAAATAAACATTGAAATTTAAGTAAACTATCTGTGCCAGGGTCTGAGCTGACTTCACAGCATAGCGAGGTGTTCAGATACCGGGTAGAGGAAGAGTAAGTGACAGACAGATGAGTGGGTAGAACTGTCTTCATTTCTCTGCTGGAAACTTACATCCAAACAAAAGTCTCTGTTGCCGGTTTTCCTTAATTCTTCTGACTGGGCTTAGGACCTCAAGAGGACCCCACAGTGCTGTTACATCTCACATCACTCCTGGGAGGTCCTGGGAATGGGGACCGGCAGAAGCTGGCCTTGCAGTGAGAGCCAGGCTTTTGGGTGCCCTATCCTCATCCACTTATCCATAGATATAAGCCAGTGCCCTCACATGCTGGTTACCAGGCACTGGTAAAAACAGGGGTGGATGGCCTAGGATAAAAACAGAGCAGCACTGAGTGACAAGGGTCATGAAAGACAAGCAAAAGGCCATAGGAGTGACACCTACTGCAGTCATGGGCACCGGGACGACCGTGCCCTGAGCCCTGGGCAGGGAGGGGGCACAAGTAGCAGTTTACCCAGTGAAGAAAAGGTGGGAGGAGGACCACAAAGAAGGAAGATGGTGGTCACTCAAACCCTGACCCGAATTCTCTCTTTATGTCCCAACAGTGCGATTCTGCAAGGAACTTGGAGTGGCTGAAAACTGTGAAGGAAAGTCATGGGTCTGTGGAACTCTCATCCCTGTCCCTGGCCACTGCCATCAACAGCAGAGGCATCTATGTGATCAAGGCTCCCAAAGGTGGCCAAAAGGTGAGCCCAGACCCCAGGCGTGGTTTTGGACTCTTTACAGGCTGCTGCACATCCAGGGGTTTCTGCTGCCAGAAGAACCTCTGACGTATGGTCTTCCACAGGTTTCCCCAGACACAGTTCTACGCTTGATCCTTCCCGAGGGTCGTGGCGGCCATGAGGAGATTCGAATCTATTCTTTAGAAGACCTGAAGGAGCTTTTAAACAAACTGATGCTGATGTCTGGCAAAAAAGATCACAATAATGTTGAAGTGGAGAGATTTTCTGAGGTGAGGATGCATATTTGCGGTGGCACTAAGCCAGTATAGTCAACTCATCTGTTTGAGCTGTGCCCTCTTGCTGCTGCTAAGTTGCCCAAGAAAGCAGAAAGGGTCTGAGTTGGGACTTAACTGATAAGAATGGCTCTGCCCTTAGGCCCATGGAGAGTAGAGTTGGTGAGTTTGCAGCGTGCATGCAACCCCAGTTTGTGGCCCCAGAAAGAAGCCTAAGGTAGGGAGGCCTTCGGGTTAGGGTGCCTCCTCAGGATCCATAGCGTGAACTGTCACAAGCCGGTGGTTAGTCTACTACACTGAAGAGGAGATGACCCAGAAGATAGTTCTCAGAAAGAAGCTTAGGTGAGGAGCAGTGACTCACACTTTGGGAGGCTGAAGCAGGAGGCTTGCTTGAGTCCAGGAGTTGTAGTAAGCCATGATTGCACCGCTGTACTCCAGCCTGGGCAACAGAGTGATACCCTGACTTTACAAAAAAATAAAATAAAAAAAGAAACTTAAATTGCTTTACTTACTCTGTAAATTGGCAAGAATCCAATAAACAAAGATTTAGATGGACACCCTTCATCAAGACAGAAGTAATCCTATTGATAAAGGTGTGCTGGCTTATATAATAGTCTCTCAATTTTATTATGGGTTCTTTCTTTAAAGTTCATCTGTACACACAATATCTCTTATCTCTACAACTTATTGCTTCCTAAAGAAGAGTACCCTCTTGTCAGGCTGCTTGTGTAGGCGAGGGATGGAAGACTTGTGTGCCCAGGTCACTCAGTGGACCGGTGGAAAAAGCTGAACCCAAATCCTCTGTGATGGCAGACTTGTGTATTGTTGTAGACTAGCATGTCACCCTCTGACACGGCTCTGTGAGTCTACCTCATGCTTCCATTTCACCAGGTGTTCTGTGGCATGCAGAGGCTCGTCCAGGCTTTCATAGACCTGTACTCTGCTGGAAACATGCTGTTTAGAACCTGGACCACCGAGGTCTACTGCTCCCCCAGGCAGGACGTGTCCATCCGAATGGACTTTGGCTTGGAGCTGGTGAGCCAACTTGCAGGGTGCGGAGATGTCACTGAGCTGCTGGCTGTGCTCTGCAGGCAGATGGAGCACTTCCTGGACGACTGGAAGAGTTTCGTGACCGAGAAGCGCATGGAGCACTTTTACCTCAACTTCTACACAGCCGAGCAGCTGGTTTACCTTAGCACTGAGCTCAAGAAGCAGACTCCTAGCGAAGCCGCCCTAACGATGCTGTCCTTCATCAAAGGCCACTGCACCCCAGGGGATGTCTTAAGGGCGTCTAGGGAGCACAGTGGTAAGGCTGCTAGATACCTTGAGAGGAAGGTGACTGAAGAGTTGCCGCTGATGCTCTTCTCTGAGTTCAGCCTGGTGGACAAGCTGAGGGTCATCATGGAACAGTCGATGGCGTGCTTGAGTGCCTTCCTGCCTGAATGCCTAGACCTGGAGGCCCTCGGTCACTATCTGGCTCACCTGGCAAGGGTGGGTGGACCTCCCGTGGAGCGGCATCTCCCAAGAGGCCTGCAGGCTGGCCAGCCCAACCTTGTCATCTGTGGCCACTCCGAAGTGTTGCCAGCTGCCCTGGCCATCTACATGCAAGTCCCGAGCCAGCCCTTACCCACCTATGACGAGGTGCTGCTTTGTACCGCGGCAACTACATTTGAAGAGGTGGCACTGCTGCTGCGCCGCTGCCTCACCCCAGGCTCCCAGGGGCACAAGGTTTACAGCCTGCTGTTCGCAGACCAGCTAAGCTACGAGGTGGCCTGCAGGACGGAGGCACTCTTCCAGAGCTTGTGCACACAGCGCCACTGCGAGGACTACCAGCTTGTGATAGTCTGTGACTGTGACCGGGAGCATTGCTACCTCCCCTCTGCCTTCAGCCAGCACAAGGTCCTCGTCACCCCCCAGGAACCCCTCGAGGCCATTCAGGCCTACCTGGCGCATCATTACCAGGTCCCAGGGCAGACCCTGTCGGCAGCGGCTGTGTTCAGGGACCGGCTGTGCATTGGGATCGTGGCCTCGCAGAGAGCGGGTGTTGGTAATGAGAACAGCTGGGGCGGGTGGGTCCCTTGCCTCCTAGGGACTACTTGATGACCCTTTCTTCTCTAGCAGTGGGGTGGCTTAGATGAAACACTTCTACATATGGAAAAGCTGAGTCTCAGGGAGAGCTTGACTCATCTCTAGTTGTAAATCAGGGCCTGTGCCAGAAAGGGACACCCTTTGTCACCGGTTTCCCAAATTGGGCAATTCCTGGGTGCCTCCCCCCAGCAAACTTCTCTGCACTTTACTTTTTTTCCCTTAAATTATATTGGCCCCTTTGGGATTGATGCTGGTTGAAAGAGCAGGGGGAGGTATAATTGTTCTATCTTGGGAAGAAACAAATGCCTCTTGACCTGCCCTTCAATTGCCATCATGTTTCCCTTAAAAAGAAATTATCATTTCCGTCCTATTGACTTTATCCCATTAACTACACTACATTGTGTTGGTGTAAAAATTGCTTTTATCCTTCCTCCCACATTTAGTGTGTCCTTGCTGTGACTTTCATTGTACAGTCATGTGTTTCAAAACAACGTTAAGGTTAACAATGGACCACATACACAACGGCAGTCCCATTTTTTTTTTTTTTTTTTTT